ATGATTACTAAAATATAAAAATCTAGGTGTAAAAAAATGGTGGAGGGAGGAATAGTAAGTGGATTTTATTTTATTGTAATGAGGATGTGGCCTGCATGAACTTCTTTGTTTATTAATTTGTAATCTCCCTAAAAAAAATTGTTTCGTTCTACAAAGTTATGCAATTTATGAATCAATTATCGACTTTAACTGAGGAAAATTAGGCCTAATTCAGTTCATTAAGAAAAGTGAATACCGATGACAAAGATGCACAATTATGACTGTTTGTCTCTAATTATTTATGGTTTAAGGGGGAGGGGGGGGGGGGGGGAGTCACCTATTATTACTAAAAAAGGAATGGGAACTTTCGAACAATGATAAAATTGTTTTTCTTTGATCTATAGGTTGCATATTTAAATGGTGAAACCAATCATTAATATTTGAGACAGAATAAATTACTTATGTTAAATATTTCTAGAAAAACGACCTTTTTTTTAACTCTTACATGAATAAAGAATACTTCATACATCGAACTTACATTTTATCCACCACTAAAAGGAAGACAAAAGAGTTCGATAGTAGTCATTGCTTTGATTGGTAGATGAGAAAGAGGTAGGTATAATGCTTAGATAAATGTATATTTGCTAAAACGCAATAAGAAATGAAGCACATCAAACAATTAAAAAGTGGAAAAATATGGCCCCAACAAAATACTAATGGATGCGGGAGGGTCTTTGGGCTGATAAGTGATTTGCTCATTTGGTAACTTAAACTTATTTTGAAGCTCAATTCAGCCATATAAAAACTAGGCTAGTTGAGGCAACTATATAGGTCAAAATTGATACCGACAAAAAACTTTGTCAAAATATGTTACAAGCATATGGCTATATTAATTTGATCTATTTTAACTCATCCAATTTAGATTTAATCCGTCAAAATGAACTGATTTTTTCTATCACTCTGACAAACTTGAAGTTATATGTATGATGGTGTGATTTGTGAAAATATTTACACACTTAACTTTTGTCTAACGGTATATGTAATTCGTAAAACTATTTACTAAGTTTAATGGCAAGGAGTAAATATATATATATATTGGCACTCCTTCCTGATGATTTAGCAAGTTGTTAACGTTAATTTGTCCGCAATTAACAATAATAATTATAGTTAATCCAAGCAAGGATCAAATTAGGAAAGCCAACTCCAGGTACAATTAAGAAAAGCCAAGTTTTGAAAGACAAACAAAGAGAAGAGGAATTAAAATAACAACAACAACAACAACGTTGAAATTAAACAAACATTAATTATGCAACATTTGGTTTTAGAGATTAAATAAAGAAAAGAGGAAATGAAATCCAATATCCTTAGTAATCATCAGTGCAAGGAAGCTGCTCGTGAGTGTTCTGACCAATGAAGATGATTTCATATACTAGAGCAGCAATGGCCGCACCTCCAAATGGGCCGAGCCAATAGACCCAGTGGTTGTCCCAGGTCCAGCTAACCACAGCTGGACCAAACGACACCGCTGGGTTCATTGATGCACCATCAAACGCACCACCAGCCAAGATATTAGCACCAACGATGAAACCAATTGCGATAGGTGCAATTATTCCCAAATCTCCCTTCTTTGGATCAACTGCAGTCGCGTAAACAGTGTAAACAAGGCCAAATGTCATTACTATCTCAAAAACAACTGCGTTCCATGGTGTCACTCCACTTGATAGCGCGAATGCTGATGTTTCCTGCATTAATTTTTTTTTCCATAAATTACAAATATTAATTTCACTAGAAAATTCCACAATGCAAAGAAAAATGGCTTTACCAATCCTCCAGTAGAAAACTTGAGGAGCACACAAGCAACGACAGATCCAAGCAATTGTGCAATCCAATACAAGACACTTCGAAAAAATGTAATGTGGCCTCCTACAAAAGCACCAAATGTAACAGCAGGATTTACGTGACCTCCAGAAATATTTGCTCCGACTGAAACCGCCACAAAAAGGGCAAAGGCATGTGCTATGGATGCCGAAATAAGTCCAGCTGGCGTCGCTGCTCCACCATTCGTTAACTTACCTGTGAAAAGTACAAATATTATATATTTTCAATGTAAATTAAAAATTCTTTATACTGTCAGTTATACTTACCAAAGGCCATGCCAGAGCCTGAACCAGCAAAAACAAAAATGAGCATGGAAAAGAACTCAGCTGTTGCAGCTTTAAGAGCATCAGGCTTGGTAGCCTCTGCTAAATTTCCGATTGCAATTCTAGAAATTGGCATTATCGTTTCTTACTACTTAATTTTTTTCTTAATTAGAGGGAAAAGAAAAACTTAATTTGTGTTGTTTATTTCCTAACAAGTTAGTGCTACTTAAATATATAGTGGACTAATAAGAGGACACCCTTTGGGTTGGAAGCCACCTGTCATTGTCTCTTTGGCGTGCCTCCAATTTATTTGGGTGCTGACACGTGGCATTATAATTAGATTCTAGCCGTTTTTAAAGAAAAAAGGAGTTAAATTTTAGGAATACTATATACTAATGGTGTAAAAAAAAAAATTAACAATAGATGTAAATTTATAAAAAGTTACTTTTGGTATTACTTTTAAATTTTTAAAAGTTATCGTATCATATCATATCAGAATTAATATGAAAAGTTATTTGTTATTGTAAGTCAATTTAACCTGATAAAAATTACTAAAGGATGATTAGGAAAAGTAATTTTAATTAGGATGTACAACCGACCAAAAATAAGGAAAATGATAATAGGTGGTCCATAATCAAAATGATTGTTGGTCTAACCGACCATTTTGCCGACGGTGGAATCTTGATGGAGACAACCATAGTCAGCTAAATGGATTAAAATTGTTAATTGTTGGCACCATCACTTAATCAACTTATTATTTGTGTTTAATAGAGATTAATTAATTTGTAGACTTAAAAGGACATTATTATGTTATATGAAGGATTTTTTGTTGGTCACTCTGCTTTATAGACAAGGCTCGTTCCATTATTAGCTCGTGTGATACTCGTCTCGTGACCTAAGAGGCTTATGCACTCAACTTGTGTCTACTAACCGAGTGTTAAGAGCTTTTAAACCTGGGCTTAGCAATTTCGGCTGAAACGTATATTGAACATAGATGATAAGTTTGTGAAATCTTGATTAATAAGCTTTTAACACCAATCTGGTTAAACCAAATGTGATTTCTGATCAGTGGAGTGACATCAACATGAGGCAACTCTAACATTTTCTAGATCTTCTATAAGCTTTTAATTTCTTTTTGTAATTAAGAAAAAAGACAGTTTTTCATCATTACTTGCAAAAGGAGATAATTAATGGCCAACATTAGTCCAGCCGGATCAATATTTTTTAAAAGTAATTATCTCAAATTATTGTCATTATAGAAGTTCAAGGTTAAAAAAAAACAAAATCTCTCTCAATGCTTAGTAGTAATTATTTTTGAAGACTACAAAAACCTCAACAAAATACATATTTAATGAAAAAAGAATATAGCTTAAGACATAAATTAGGGTAATATTTTTAAGGAGCATATAAAAAATAAACACGACAGATAATTTTAGACGGAAAAGTATAATAATGTGTATATTTCCGACCAAGAAAGGACTGCCACAAGTTCATTTTGTTTCTAAGGAGCGAGAAAGTAGTTGTTTGTAATCATGATGTGAATTGTGATAATCAAAGTAATTTTGTTTTGTTGATCATTTCTTTTTTCTTTTTTCTTTTTTGGTATGAATAGTCTAAGATGCTTTTCAATTTGCATTTGGATTAATTAAAAACAGAGGGCCAATGAGCTGTTAAGTGCAATAATAGTATTGACTATTGAGTAGGTGAGTAATAGTGGACTTGGTGCTTTACCACTTGATAAAAGAAAAAATAGCCTTTTTATTTAACAAACCAAATGCACCATTTAATACATTACTTTATCACATCTTATTGATAAAATGATAATTATACTATACATAAGTAATTAAGTTTTGGACTTTCTTATTATTTCTATCTTATCTTCTGCTAATTAAATTATTTTGGGCGGCTATGCTAACTACTTTGCTTAATTTGTACAAGAAATGCTTGGCCTCCTTCTTTGTTTGAACATTCTAAAAGGAATATGACATTTTTTAAAACTTAATTAAACCTCCTTGCCAATCTATGATTATTCTTTTTCAGTTTTGACAAGAAGAGCTAATGAAGAACGAGTTGTTACGAGATTGTCAATGTGTTCGGTATAAACAAAAATATTTTTTATGAAAAATATCTTTCAGGAAAATAAGAGTTTTTTTTTTCCTTCTGTTCACTATTCGATAGGTAAGCAAAATATTTTTATCCTAAAAGCATTTGTATATGATTTTAACCGACGTCGCCTTAAATGTAATGTTACTTGCTCCATATATGTTTTCAAATTATATGATGACTTCTAAACCTTCCTTATTAATTATTTTCTTTGCCAAAAAAAGCAAATTCATATTGGGATGAAACAACAGTCAGATGAAAGTTCTGAATCAATGTGATCAAAGCACAAAATAATCTGTTACAATTTAAATAGAAGAAAATGATCTTACAAAAATCTTGTGTTTTATATCACCAATCTCCTACGCGTTAACATAAAGATGTCCTGTCACTTGCAAGAGAAATAGAGTTCTCTGTAGTCTTTCTTGACAGAGGACTTGAGGAACCAGAATTGGAGATGCATACAACTTTTCTTGGAATGACATATTCAAAACCATGTTCATATCTCAGAATGGAAGTACAATAAGTATAGAAAATGTAAGTAAGACAACTCTGAAGAAGCCACAAGGTGAATCTATTCACTTAAGCTAACTCAAATAAGCACAATGGATATCAGGCAAAATGGTATGTTCAAAGAAAAATAAGCTATAGAAGAAAAATTGTATACACTTACCAACACATGTTTCTCAAGGCTAGCCTAATAGGTCTTGCAGTATTAAAATGATCATAAGATCAGCTAACAAGTACACTAAACATAAAGCATCATGCAAATCATTTGGTATGACTATTTATTTCTGTACATGACAGTAGGCTCAAGGTTTAGGACTTTCAGGAGTTATATCTCTGAATACTTGCAGTCTGTTCCTCCGCATCAACGTGACTGGCGTTTGATAAGCAATGTCTCCTATAGGGGGCAAGGAGTTCAAGCTTCCAGACTTAAGCGCTTTCCCCTGAAAGTCAGATGAACACTTTTCTTTTCTGTCATTCTGATCAAAGCACAAGGAACGCCTTGCTTCTCGTCCAGGTTGTGTATGATACCCTTCATTCAGACACAATGTATCAATGTTTTGGCTAAGATTAATAATATTTGAATCAATATTCTCATTTTCATCTGAATATTTGCCTGGAGTTTCATGAAATTGCAAACCCAACTCGTCCTCTTCCACCATATCAGCCCAACTCTTCTTGTTTGTACATGCAGGCAAGTTTAAAGGTTTCAAGTTTGTGCTCTCCAAGTGTTCGGTGGTATCCTCTAATGTCACCGTATCTCTATAAGTCAAAGTGGAACTCCAACAATCTTTACTCCCATCTCCAGAATATTTTCTTGCACTTGTAATATCAGCCAATGATTCTGTTGGAGACTTCGACAACTCTAAAGAAATTTGGTCTGATCCATCATTTCCGGAAGAGTTGTTTTTCCATTTGGAGTAAGGTGGCTGCAAATCACATTCACTTTCCACGTTAGCGCCATTTGCCCATGACCTAGATAACACTTGTCCACGGACAAGGGATGCTCCCTCGCTCATATCGTTGGCAGAAATGAGCTTGTTGAAATTATGATTCACAACTAACTGCACATTCTCATTATTTGATGTTTGCTCAAATAACAATCTTCGACTACAGGCACTAACAGAGTCCTTATTCAACCAACCTCCATCATTGAGTGAACATGAATATCTTCTTGGTTGTGTTAAAAAGTGCTTTCGAGGTCCAGAAGCAGTAAATGGAGGTGGATGTGTCTTCTCGTGTCCCCTGCAATCATGTTCATCTGATGTGGATGAATCTATCCTAACCTCCCGCATCTCTTCCACCTGTTCCTTAGAGTTCTGAATGCCATGAGTTTCTAACTCAGCTAGCATTTGAGTGGCACGCTCGAAGGACTTGGTGCATGACTCATCCATTTGCCATCTATCTGAGGCTTTTATGCTTTGAAGCAGAAACCTAGCTTCTGCAATCTTGTTCATGTGCATCAAACAGATTGCAAGATTGCTTTGCTTGTTCTTGTCCGATTCGAGAGAGAGTGCTTTTCTGCATTAAAACAATTTCCACATGTGAGCAATTTTTCTCCAAACAAAGCCACACCTCCAAGTGCTCAATTTGTTTTAGTTGGTGATTATTACCTATAGTACTCCTCTGCCAATTTAAAGTTATTGAGTTGCATGTATGACCATGCCAAGTTCCCCAACAATCTGCACTTATTTTGAAAATTACAAGAATTTGATTATGTTAGACAAGCAAAAATAATGCTGAAGTTGACAATAAACAATAGCAGGTACAACCTTGAGTACTCCTTTTCAATTGTGATTTGAACCTTTTTTCCTTGAGATCTAGCAATCTTAGTCCTCTTCCCACCAAATGCTATGCCTTCTTCAACGTTCTTCAATTTCAGTTCAAGTAATTCAATCTCTTCTTCGAGCCTACCAGATCTCTGCAGAAATACAAATATAATCAAAATAGTCGCGAGATAAAGAAACAAGAGTACTCTAGGATTTATACAACCATTAGAGCAGCATCCTCATATTGTAGAAAACATAAGTTGCTAGATTTTCATAACAACTCCACTTCATAGATATCTTTTATGATTAGTAGACTGAGAGAGCAAGACCTAACAAAAGTTTGAAACCACTATATAAGTAGTGTAAATTTCTTTCGAATTACCTGCTCATATCTTTTAAGACAAAACTGTTCCTATTGATACAGTTTCCACAAATTTAAGAGTATGCATACCAAATATTGACTCTTGATAAGTGTACAAGGAGATGCCATTCCATCTCTTGTTATAGATGACTTTTGCAATGACTAACATCTAATTCAGTTTTGTATAAAGCAGGAATGTGTAGTTCGAAGTCAGACGGATTAAGCCTTCAACAGGAGGACAGATAACTACTAGTCTTTACAATAACAGTCAAAACACTATGTTAGCCAATGGTACTAGGAAATGGTCAGGAAAAATGTTGGTCGAAACTGGATAGAATTAGGCCTTAAATAAGAGGACAGATAACTACTATTCTTTACAATAACAGTCACAACACACTATGTTAAGCCAATGGGTACTAGGAAATGATCAGGAAAAATGTGTAATTCGTTGTCGGATGGATTAAGCCTTCAATGGGAGGACAGATAACTACTAGTCTTAACAATATGATCTAGCAAAAGGTGTAGGCAGAGATTAGCAAGATATACATGTCATTAAGCAACATTCAAATACAAAACAATGTATGTACAATAAAGATATATATCAGATTTAAGATGATAAGTTCTTACCTTGTAGAGTTCAATCAAGATGTTGTCAATGGACTCCTGAGACTCAGAGGGACAAAGATTTCGAAATGACTTTATTGCTTCGATGGCCTCGTCTGAACGATCCAACTGTTTCATTACCACTGCCATGTCTTTCAGAGCACTATCAACTCGATCACCGGAATTAATTGCTGCCCAGAACAGAGAAATTGCCTTGCCTGGATCCTTATCAATTAACTGCCATTTATGGATTAGTAACAACTTATTCAATCAAAAACAGAAATTAACACATTTCTTTCCAAGAAGCTGAAACTACCCCCAAAATGAAGATTTGTTCTAGTTAAGCACTTAATTCCAGGCAATATGTATATAACAGAAAACAGGCATCTACACACACAATTGCCCATAACATCTTCATTAATATGATTCAACAAACTTCCATAATGTGATCCTGTAATCCAATAGCAATACTACTATTTTGAAACCCCAAGAAGAAATAACAAGAAATTATCATTGAAAGCCAATGCAGATTCAAGAAAAGAAAGAAACTCGTAAAAGCACTAACTTGAACATGTTTCGCCCTGACATATGGAGAATCACCAGAAGGCACTTTGTGAATGACGTGAAAAAGATCAGCTTTAGCACTCTGTGCATGAGTTGGCCACCTCTGGTCCTTGTCTGACGCCGGCGACCTCCATTTCGGTGGTGGGGTCAAGAAACCCCTCGCCGGAGACATGTAGACTCTCTCGTTATTCCTCCACATTGATTCTTACGCAAAACCCTTAATCGAAAGTTACAAGAAAATGCAAAATCCTGATTCAAATTAACTATATTAATATTGTTAATTTGAATTTCACAATTGGATTGTGAATTCTTGGAGATGAACTGTGAGACACTTTCTTTTAGTAAAACAAATGGAGTGATCGATTTTTTTTCTGCTTTGATCACTAAGAAAGTTGTATTAATATTGGAAAAAGAAGAAAAAAGAAAGCTACTTTCTCTCGCCGGAAAGAGAGAGAGTAAGTGAAAGCGGTCGATTACGAACAAACTAGCCGTTAAATATAACGTATCCGTTGACAGAGGAGACGCAAGCAATTGAGTTAGCATGTGCAAGTCACGTTCACACTCCAAATTAACCTAAAAGGTAGAAATTAGGAGGAAATTTGAGGGCTCGTTTTCTTTTTTAATCCTCTAATTTTGTTTTAATAATAAAACTCCTCTTTAAAGCTTGACATAATGCTTGGGGATCCACTGAACTTTACACCTTTTATTCGATCGGTCCAAAACTAACCTATTTTTGTCTTAATTATTTCTTTAAACATGGCCGCTTACTTTTCTCATAAGTATATTAACCGCACGGGCATCATTATTTTAACATAGTCGCTGATAAAACTTTCAATGATGAGTAAGGAATTATAACATCGCGTCAAATTTGGCGCTGGTGGCATGAGCAATGATGAAAATTCAAGTATATATATAGTATAGGTCCAATTTATTGGCGGTTCACTCATGTTTGTCTAAGCAAGAAATGAGATTTCCTCACTGCTGCAACAGATACAACAAAAATTAATTAAGATTCAAGTAACATAACTTTAGGTCCAATAATTAACAGATTATTTGGACCAAATATTTGCCCCAATCCAACTTTATGAATGAATATCCTTGTCAAATAGTAGACCCCAAGCTGGATGCTCAACACTGCAAAGAGATGCAACATATTAGTATCAAAAAATTTCCCCATTCTTTTTGGTCAGTATTTGCTTTTATAGTTAGTTGTTATTTGTAAATGATAGTATTATTACTATTAATTTTTGCAACTGTTCAACTAATTCACTTTTTAGGGTGGAAAGGTTTATACCTAATCCATCTCATCAACTCCTCTCATTTTTACCAAATGAAATACAATTCAATTTCTCTCCATTTTAATCACACATATATAAACTCTCATCAATGTTCTTGAGATCCATCATCTTCATTCCAGAAAATCATTTCTCAAACTATCTCTCAGCTCTAGCTACTATTTCATCATCAGTTTCTTCAATTAATAATGGCAATTCAAAATTCGAGCTCTTTTCAAATCAAAGCCGTTATCTCATACCTACTCATTCTAGCTCTCACAATAACATTTGCTACAGCAGCCCGAATCCTTGACGAGGAAGTGGCCACCCCTACCGTAGCATTGGAAAATCCTGACCCTACCGATCAAGCACCAGTTTCAGGGGCAACTACGGCTGGTGCAGCTGCCGGAGCTACAGGTATTAAATTGTGTAATCATCTCATTTGAAAACGTAACAGTTATATTTTATGAAATTAGGTTGACTTCATATTCTAAATAGCCTTATTTTAACTTACATAAATCCATGTCTTTCTTTAGCAAGTTGCTAGGCAAATTTTCAATATGCAATGACGACTACGTTGTATATTGAAAGGATTTGCTCGTATTTCTTCAATACGAGCTAAGGAAAGTAGTTCTCACGCCTTATATTTTATAGCAGGTGCAACACCTGCAGCGGGTGCGGGTGGAGCTGGTGCTGGTGCAACTGTAGCCGGTGGAGTTGGTGGTGGTGGTGGTGCTGGTGCTTACGATGATCATACATTTTCCTTCTTCTTGCACGATATCCTAGGAGGATCAAATCCTTCAGCTATAGCCGTTACCGGAATTGTAACAAACCCCGCCGTGAGCGGTCAAGTCCCATTCGCGAAACCAAACGGTGCCGTTTTAGCAGTTGATAACGGCGTCCCAACTAACAACGCCAACAGCGGAATCATCAGCAACAACAACATCCCTTTCCTTACTGGCCTTAGCGGAACAACATCTAATTTTATTAATCAAAACAACAACGGAATAATCGGAGGCGGTAACGGTTTGCCAGCGATTAATTTACAGCAATTGGGATCAGGAATCAGTTTCCAGAAGTTGATGTTCGGTACATTGACTGTTTTCGACGATGAATTGACCGAAGGACACGAGCTGAATTCGGGTTTAATTGGTAAAGCTCAAGGATTTTACGTTGCTAGTTCGGAAGACGGGTTGAGTCAAACGATGGCGTTTACTGTGATGTTTAAGAGTGGAAGTTATGCTGATAGTTTGAGTTTTTTTGGTGTTCATAGAATGGGAGTTTCGGAATCACATCTTGCGGTTATGGCGGGCACGGGAAAGTATGTTAATGCTAAGGGATTTGCTACTGTTAAGACTTTTCCTGCTACTAATCAGCTTCAAGAGACAGATGGAGTGGAGACTGTGTTGCATATTACTGTGTATCTTGCTTATTAGTGTGATTTGTTTGTAATTCTGGTGTGTTTCAATTTGGATGAAAAAAAAGTTGTAACTTTGTGTTCCTGAAAATTTGTTGTAATTAAGTTTAAGCTCCGATTTGGATTTGGTTTTGGTTTTGGTTTTGGTTTTGTTTCCCAAATGAATTATTCGAACTACTTTTCCATACGTATCACCAAGTGTTTTTGTCTCCCCTAGAATTCAAATGTGTGATCATCATGGATCTCAATCAACCATTAGGCCATCTCTTGGGTGTCTACTTTTCAATTTGTTCATCTTACCTTCTTCTTTAGATTGTTTAAAAAAATATACTTATCTTTCTTTTTCTACCTAACAACTTAATTTTAACTTTTCACATGACACGAATTTAAAATACAAAATTCTAAAGTCTTTCACTAAAACGGTGGGAGTATAAGCCCAACTTTGATTTGGACAGGTAACTAGATTGGAAGCCCAACTGGATTTCTTTGATTTGGACAGGTAACCAAATACTCTTTCATTATGTATGCTAGCCTGGTTTGTAGTGATTGTAGCTCTAAGGACGCAATTTCGATTTATCATTCTTCTTTGACGAATAGCATAACAGAGACTCGTACTTGAATCGTTTTGACATCCCTCCCCTTCTACTATGCAGGGGAGGGGAGTTTGACACTACTACTCGATCAAGTAGTTGTGTCAAAAAGATGCAAGTTACAAATATCTGTTAGGCTATTCAGCCTTCTTTTTTTCATGTTCAAATTATGTCATGTCTGGTGGATTTTGGTTTTCATTCCTTTGCCATTAATCATTTTGATTATCTCGATCCAACTATAAGAGGAACCTTCTGTTCATCTTAGTTCATCCTGTATTGCTTTTCCTTGGGGTATTCAAAAACTTTATCTTTCAGTTTAAATTAGATGTTATTATTGTAACTGTTATTCTACAATTTGTCAAGTGGCGTTGTAATATCTTGGCATTGGCAATTTAATAGCTTGATCTAACCACATTGCAAACCTTTTAAAAACTTTTAGATGAGGATTTTTTTGGATTATTATAAGAAAAATCATGTGGTAAATTAAAAAATGTAATTTAAATTTGATAAATAAAGCCAAAAATAAAATAGAAATAATGTGAGGGTATTATACTTAGAAAGCAAGAAAGTTTGCAATGTGGTTAGGCCAAGTGACAAGCTATTAAGTTGTCATTTTGGCAACTTTAGGACAATAATTGCAGCCATTCATGTGATTAAGTCAAGTGCAAGTTATTACAAACCCACTTGGCAAATTTTAGGATAGCAATTGCAATAATAACATCTAATTAAATTGAAGTTAAGGTTTTTGAATTTGACAAGAATCGATAGTCTTTTTGAATTTCATATCCTTGTATCTTAACTAAATAATCCAAGGGAATCGCGATATTCTAATAATTTGAATTCAGTATGTTGAATATAAGTTATGTCCAGTAATCATGCATGAAAAGTATTTGTTTGATTGCTCTTCTTATCATTTGCCAAGATACAATTACAAAGTGTAGATATGTTCGTGACTGGCTTTGATGCCACTATGGCTTTAATCTAGTTAGTCTTGGGCAGAACTAATTTGTGGAATTATGGGTTATTAACTTTAGATATGCATGCCATTTCAGGTAAATACCAAATGCTATATTTGAAAGATATGGCTCTTCCATGTCCTTTGAAGTCTGATTTGAATTTATGAAACAAATCACATCCCCCTTTGAATAACACAACTAATTTACCTAGCCTGGTAATGTGTTTTTGGCCTTGTGGTAGTGTTATCACGACATTTAGGTGCCCTATGAATAAATTTTCTCTTCTTGAGATTACCTAAATTTCACTGGTAATGTCTTTTGGCTTCCTCAGGTAGTTAACTATACATATTGGAAAAAACACGACTGTTAAGTTTTGCATGTCCTATGGAACTCATAATAAAGCTAGCTATTCGGATACCTAATATTACCGTGCAATGTCCTATCTGCCTCTTGACTTGTGTGTTTCCCTCTACTCTGTACCGCTGATGCACTTTTCAGTTAGTAATAACATATATACTTGTTTAATGTGCAGGCATCTTTGAAAACCGAAAGAGAGAAGAAAAAAGAAATGTACTTTCCACTTAGAAAGTATGCCATTAATGTTTGAATTCATCCAACTTATTGTTACTGTGATATTAGCACTTTCTCCATGCAATTGTCATGTAGCAGGTTGGATGGAAGAGTTCATGAATTAGGTGTATAGTCTTTTCCTTTTCATTGAAATTGGAATGAAGATATTATGATGTAACATCTCACTCATGAAGAGTTTTGAAACAATTGGCTTTTATCAGATGTTGAAAAGAATTGGTCAAAAATAAACAATTGCTTCCGAAATGTATCATGTTTTTCTCATTTTGTTTTTGTGTAAGAAATTCACATACCAAATCTCATCGACTTTTTTCATTTTTTTTAGTCTTGTGGTCTTAAACTAAATATATATAGAATGCATTAAAATGTCATTTAAATTTGTGGTTTTAAAGTATGCTATATAAAAAGGTTAGAATTAAATAATTGTCGAAAATGGTAGATGCATTTTTTTTAGATATTGGTTAGAAAAGAAAGTAAGACAAATAAATTGAAATGGAAAAGGTTTTGTACCCCTAGTTTGATTTTCGTCCATTAATTTATTAGAGGTACAAGCTTCTTTTCAATAATTTGACGCAGTCCTTTCCTGTTTTAGCATTTCTTACGTGCAAAACTCGAAAAATATGTTTCTGCGAAATTCTAATGCCCTAATCAACTACTACTATTTTAAAAAATCTATCACTTAAACTTTTCACATTAAAATGTAGATAGCAAATTATAAGCAATATTTGACACGAAACATATTATCAAACAATGGGAGTTGATGTGATAATTGTGTTTTTCATAAGCAAAATCATGAATCAACACTCAAGCGAGTTGATTTGTGAGTTGATCACACTTTGTTTTTCTTCTATTGATCGTTTCTTAATTATTTTCTTAGGGTATGGGGATGGGTGAATTATCATTATCAAAAATAAAAAAGAAATAGGAAGATGTTTAATTAAGTAGCATCTTGGAGATCGATGTATTATTATTAGCTCATATATTTTGTTCGATAATAATAATAATAATAATAATAAAAATACATATATATAACAGGATCCATGGCACAGATCCACTTAATATGCCAGAGATGGAGAGAAATTAAAAGAGTTCTTTTTAAAAAAAAAAAAAAGAGATCCACTAAAATTCTAATCTACTGTTTTGCAAATTATCACTTAACCTCTCTACGTTATAGAGGGAAGAATGAATAATATTTTGCATTTAAGAAGGATGATAACGTAATGAAATGAATGTTTTATTTGGAAAGTATATTTTGACTGGTTTTAAGAGTCGCCACTTAATTTTTAAGAAAAATCAAGAAAAACTATTCATTTTCACGAGACTAAAACAAGAATCTAGTGAAAACTTGAAAAAGGGTTCGATGTTCCTATTAATATTCTAGGAAGGTTTTTAAAGCACCTAGAATATCCGCTAATGCGGTTATCCGACAATTAATTTATTTGACTAAAATAACGTTAACTTAGCTTGATTTGCAAAATTGGACTATTTTGTAGTTAGGACCATTTAAGGGAGAAAAATAGAATTATGAAATATTATCTAAACAAAATATTTTGTAAACTTATTCGTTAAGTTTTGTTAAGAGATGACCGATTTAGTTAAATTATTAAATCAAAATGAACGTCTCTCGAGGATTTGAATGGTTAACCTTAAGATTAATGGCAAATATTAGCAAGTAAGGGAACATAATAAAATAAAGAAGGAGAGAGATTTGGGTCCAAATCTGGTTTTCCTGTCCGCCTGGGCCAGTATTTGGGCCCATTTTTGTTTTGTGCCTTTGGCCCAATTCTTGCCCATTTTTGTACCTGTCTTAGACTAAATTTTGAAATTTACTTCTTTGGGCCCATCTTCCACCTGTCCTAAATTCTAACAGTATAATAGAAAATTAGTGGGCTTAGGCCCAAAAATAACAAAATACAATTTTCTGAAATAAAGAGTGGGCGCTTGGCCCAATTTTTCAACTTTCCAATCCGTGGCATATTCTCGATGTCGGGACCTGTTCGTCGGTTTCAATGGCCGGTTGACTCGACAAAAGGATTCAGAGCCTTTATGGCTCTTTCTCAAAATGCAAGGGAAGGAGATAGGAGTTCATGAAGAACTCGGGCATATTTTGCATGCGAATAAACAAGGTAAAAGAAAACGAATTAGAGTTGGATAGTTTCTTAAATTTTAGTGCAATATTCGAATCATAAGTAAACAAATAAATGGAACAATCAACGTAATAAATACCAAATAATCCAACTTATTTTAGAAGATAGGGCCACTTCAATTAAGAAAAGAACATGGACATTTTTAGTCTATTTTTTAATTTTATTTTTTAGCTAAACAAAAGCTACTGTATGAACATGCTTGTATGATGGATTTAGTAAAAAAAAAAAGAACTGCAGGCACATGACAAACACTTAATGAATTGAGGATAGACATTACGGGATAATTAATTAACAACACATAACGGGCAGACGACGAGACATAGCAATATCTCTCGGGATTTAGCACCATAAAGCACATCAATAATAACTAAAAAAAAAAAAATAATAAAAAATAACACTGTCAAGACATTGCCCAAATTAAAAGCACGGATAACTGCTCATTTTATATGGACGACGAAACTAAGATTGAAACAACAAAAATGGGCCAATGTAAACAGAGGGAGCAACATTATATCAAGATGAATATATTCTCATACTTGAGTTATGATCTTAATCATAAATAAATCACATTTTTAAATAACTACAAAAAAAAAACCTTTTTCACATCGATTCAACTATTGAAACAAGAAAAGATTTGCCAATCCCATAGCACCGAAGCAAGTAATCTTAAATAAATCTACAAATGAAATCAATCTAGAACAGAATAGAGGATTAAACTTATACGAACATTCAAATTCAAAGGCATTGCCAGACCAATTTGTTCATAGTTATTGAAGGGTGGTTTGAGCTACTTCTTAACCGACAAGCATCAACACTTAACAAATTTGAGAAGAAGAGTAATACGGCA